GCCTCCAAGGACATTGTATGACACAGATGCACTTAAATACATGGAGGCAAAAACACACATACAAATAAATAGAAAATAAATAAATTAAAAAGCAAAAGAAAGAAAGAAAGAAATATTCTAGGGACTGGAGATGTGGCTCAGTGGGAGACTACTTCCCTAGTGATGCAAGGTCTAGATTTGATCCTCAGTGACACACACACACACACACACACACACAATTTTAAAATTAAATTAAATTAATTATTAGTGTGAACATATTTGCTATATATGCAAACAGACATACACATAAATAAAATTTAAAAAATAAATGTAGAAGAGATTTAAGGGGACTGAAGAGGGCTCAGGCATTATGGGCACTGATTGATACTGCAGAGGACCTGGGTTCAGTTCCCATAACACACAGGGTGGCTAACCACCATCTGTAACCATAACTCCATTTTCAAGAGATCTAGCATCCTCTTCTGATGTTGAAATTATTATTATTGTTATTATTATTATTACTATTATTTAAGTGTGTGCATTTGAGTGTGCATGTGCCCTGCCTCATGTGTGAAGGTCAGAGGATAACTTGCAGGACTTACTTTTCTCTTTCCACAGTAGATGAACTCAGGCCATCAGGCTTGTACAGCAAGCACCTTTCCCTGCTGAGCAATCTCACCTGCCTCATTATAGCTGAGAGACTAATCTTTTCTGTTGCTATGAAATGGGTCTTAGCCTCGAAGAGGTTAGCACGGGCAGTTTCTGCTGAGATTTCTTGCTGATTAGTCAAGTTCTTACTTAGAGCTGGATGGCCGAGCACTCAGCCCTGTGTGATTTGCTCTGAGTTTGTTTTTTTTTTTTTTTTGTTAACTCAGATTTTGTCATTGCATAAAATAAAGGGGCTTGAGAGGCTCTCCCTTGTCTATTATTTCCCCTGAGACTGGCACTTTAGAGTTTTCTAACCTTAGGAAATCTGTTTAATCTCACCAAGGCCCAGTTTCCAAATCCATCATGGGCGCACAAGGATCAAATCTACCTAAGAGCTTGATGGAGAAACTGCAGGTGTGTCATGGTTCCTTTTCTGATCTGGTCATGAAGGGTTTGTAAGCAGGGCATCCTCTAGCCCTGTTCTTGCATTGTGGGAACTGACAATGTGTTTGTTTTTCCTTCATTTTGACATAATATCTCCTACCTAAGGGTCTGATCTGTGACCAAGTGCCCTCTCACCAAAAACAAAAACAAATAAACAAATAAACAAAAAAACAAAAAACCCAACAACAGCAACAACAATAACAAAAAAAACAAGAAAGCAAAAACCTGTTAAAAATGGCAGACTGCCTTTGAAGTTCCTGTTTGGTTTGTGTCTGGCTCATCTTTATCAAGACAACCACTAACTAGGAGAGTCCTGGCTAGGAGGAGAATGAGGTTCAGGTGTACTGTTCACACGTGACACAGAAAGGTGACTCAACAGAATGCATGTGGCACCAGAAGCAGGATTACTCACAGATCCTGGAGAGGAGGTTGTAACTAGCTGTCCCATGGAGGGCAGTCACTGTGAGGAGGAATGGGGAGGAGGAAAAGCACTGGAATTGTGTCAAGAGTGACTGAATAAATCAGGAGATCAAGATGGAACAAATTCAACCTGAATCCATGGGAACTCACTTTAACACATGAACACATGCAAAGAATTTGGCCCAGGGATGGGCCCAGAGAAAAGAACGTTTGATTCATTTTACATATGAAGAAACTAAGAGAGAGAGAGAGAGAGAGAGAGAGAGAGAGAGAGAGAGAGAGATTGCCCTCCTCATAGAACTGGTTTTTAGGTAGTGCTGGAAACACACCAGGCTTCTTTCTGACATCTGGTCTGTGGTCTTTTATGACATGGTCCCTCTTCCCCAACCATGATGGGGGATGAACCAGTAGCTTTACAGCAGGGAGACTCTATGATATATATGTATATATATGTATATATATATGATAAAAGCAGAAAGAAATCTATAAAGCGGCTTGTAGTTAAACTGAATTTAGAATCCAGTGTTGCAGAATCCTTCAGAAGTTTCCACACGCTTGTCATAACATCCACCCCAAAAGAAGAACAAGCAGCCTGTCATCTCCTCAGCTTTACACAATGTACCCATCACGTCTTGCATAGATGTTCCTCGTGGGGTATTTTCCCACACTGCTCCCCTTCAAAAATGCCACAGGAATTTGATCCTTTTGATGGGTTACCCCTGTGGGAGCCCTTCCCTTTCAGAAAGAGGAAGCATGAGGGGCTGTGTGGATGCTCTACAGGCACCCTGTGAACCCTCCATAGACAGGGATATTCCCACTCACATCCCACACAGGACCCTGTGACCCCTCCATTGACAGGCGGGGGTATTCCCACTCATATCTCACTGGCTGGGACACATGCCAGGTTCCCACTGTCTTAAAGTAGAGGCCAATGTGTTGCTTTCCTGTGCGTCCACAAGGGACATGAATGAGTCTGGAAAACATGTAGGAATGTGTTGCTCACAGCTGCTGCCATCTGCGGAGTGTGGTTTGTGTATGCTGGTATGTTTGGTGCACCACATGGGGAGGTACTAGTATTATTATTCTTAGTCCCATTTTTACAGATTTGGAAACCAAGCTTAGAGACTGTCAGTAACTGGCTCTCGAATCGAATGCTGGCATTAAGCAGACCTGGCATTCAAATCCAAGTGGCCCTGGCTTGGCACGTCTTAACCTCAGCTCTGTCTGACGTGATGCATCTCACCTCTATGTTGTGGGGGCCAAAATGTGTGTAGAGACGTTCAGTAACATCTGTGGCATCTGTCTATGAGGTTCTAAGACCAAGGTCACCTCATACCCACAGCATCTGTAAGCATTGGCCAGATGTTACCTGAGAGGTAAAATCCCCTCTTTTGAGAATTACTGTTCCATCGCCAGCTTGGGGGATGCCTTCAGTTTCATTTTTGTTTCTGTGATTGACCAAAATCACTTAGGAGGGAAGGGGTTATTTCAGCTCACAATTCCTGGTCACAGTCCATCATTGTGGGGAAGTCAAGACAGGAACTTCAAACAGTAGCATCACATTCATAGTCAACAGCAGAGAGAAATAAATTCTTCTTTTTTTTTTCTTTTGGTCTTTTTGAGACAGCGTCTCCTTATAGCCCCAGCTGGCCTGGAACTCACTATGTAGACCAGGCTGGCCTTGAATGCACAGAATCCACCTGCCTCCCAAGTGCTGGGATTAAAGGCATGGGCCACTATGCCCGGCAAGAGAGGAATAAATTCTTACATGGGTACTTGTTTGCTTGCTTGTGTTCAGTTTGATTTCTCCATTCTTCTAAGTTTAGGACCCTCTGCCTAGGGAATGGTGACACCGACAGTGGACTGGGTCTTCCCAAATCAATTAACTTAAGACAATCCTCTATAGACAAGCCCATAGGCTGATCCAATGTAGACAGTCTCCCATTAAGATTCTTTTCCCAGGTTGTGTCAAGTTGACAGTTAAAGATAACCCTCATGGGGCTGGAGAGATGGCTCAGCAGTTAAGAGCACTGACTGCTCTTGCAGACGGCCTGGGTTCAATTCCCAGCACTCACATGGTGGCTAACAACCATCTGTAACTCCAGTTCCGGCGGAATCCGATGCCCTCTTCTGACAACCGAGGGCATTGCAAGACACTGGTGCTCGTACACACATGCAGGCAATACACTCATACACATAGAATAAAAATAATAAACAAAATATTAAAAAAAGATAACTCTTCTAGCCAGGCTTGGTGGCACATGCCTTTAATCCCAGCACTATGGAGGCAGAGGCAGGCAGATCTCTGTGAGTTCAAGGCCAGCCTGGTCAACATAGTGAGTTCCAGGACAGCTGGGGCTTCAGGGAGACCCTGTCTCAAAAAGACCAAAAAAAAAAAAAATTAACTCTCACAAGAAGGCAAGAGGCAGGGCACATATTACCATTGTTATGACTGATGTAGGACCTCATTTTTTTAAAAAAATACTTTATTATTTTATGTGTATGAATATAGTGCCTGCATATAGGTAAGTGCACCCGTGTCACGCAATGCCTGCAGAGGGCAGAAGAGGCTGTCGGATCCCCTAGAACTGGAGTTACGGACAGTTGTTAGCTGCTATGTGGATGCTGGTAATCCAACCCGGGTCCTCTGCAAGAACAGTCAGTGTTCTTAACCACCGAGCCATCTCTCCAGCTCCAGAACCTCACTGTTAACAGGACTGTCAGTCTCTGACCTAGAAAGGCCAATGAGCTTAAATATTCCTGTGTTACAATGAGGAGAGCAAACCTGTTGATTCATCCCATAATCCTTGCATTTAGTAGACATTTACACAGCACTGACAGAGAACCAGACCCTGATCCAGCCTCTAGGCATAAAACTGAAAAATAAGCATTTATGTCCACAGAAGTTATGTCCTACAGTCATTCAGGCCGTAGAGAAAAAGTAAAGGGGCACAGGGATGCTGGTGATGAAATGCCACAGTTTTAAAATAGCTAGGTAGGCAGGCGGTGACATATGAAGGACGAGAAGAAAAAATCCAGCTACAATCTGGGGTTTGTCGGAGGGGACAGGGGTTGCACAGAGAAACAGCAAGTGCAAAGTCCCTGGGGCCTCCTCAGAAGGTTAAGGAATAGCAAATGTGGCAAGACTAGAATTAGGGTTTGGGGGATATGGTCTGAGGGCAGGTGTCCGTAATGTTTATAGTAACTCTGTGGCTTACCCAAGGCCATATCTGGTAGCGATGCCATGATTTAAGTGGGAGCTCCTGATATGTCTTTCCAGCCGGGTGAGGTTGTGGGAGCCACTCTCTCCTCTGCCTGGGCCATGGCTTATAACCACGCCCTCCCCAGCATCTGTGACTCCTCTCCTGGTCTGAGCCAATGTTTACAGGAAACGCAGAGGAGGAGAGAGACCATGGTGCTGTATAAGTGCGGGGCCTGCTGGTCTGAGCTGCATCTTTCATGGTCTGTGTCAGGCACAGATGACATTCGGCCTCTGAGGTAGAGGCAACATGGTGGTTCTGGCCCTGACCCTCCTTGCGGCAGCTGCTACTGCGTTCTCCCTGGGGGTTCTGCTGTGGGTGATCTGTAGACACTTTTGGACTGAATACATCCCTGCAGGCATCAGTCACCCCGTGAAGTTGAGGATCCTCAGCTGCCTGTTACAGCTCTCAATGACATGGGTGAGTTTGTGCTCTAATTGTCTCTTGGGGCTGAGGGTGGAAGTCAGGAAAAACCGGATACCAGATGCTTGCAGGTAAATTAGCCCTAGTGTCGAGTGGCCTGTGGTTGAGGCTGATAGCACATTTTCAGACCTAACTAAGCCCTAGTAAGTGTTCTCAGCCTCTTCTGTGTTTCTGAAGCTGGACTTGACCAATATCACACACAATTCAAAGGATGATTTGCTTTCCCAGTGTGTTGGTCAATTTCCCATTACTGTAGCAAAGCACCTGAGACAGTGGATTCACAAAGCAAATTTATTTGGGCTTGTGATTTGGAGGTTGTAACTTGTGACGTCGGCCCCTTCAGTTTGGGCACAGGAAGAGGGGACACATCATGACAGAGGCACATGACTGAGGAAAACTCTTCACATCCTAGGAAGCAAAAGAGGAAGAGGAAGGGCTGAGGTCCCACAATGCCTTTTCTTTTTAATTTATTTTTACTTAACATACAAAGAAATGCTTTTTTTCTGTGGCATTTTAATGCGTATGTATCATTACACTTTGTTCTTATTTCCACTCTCTGCCAACAACGTTCTTTTGGGCATGGCTCCAATGATGTAAGGCTCTTCCACTAACCCTTTCCTCACACCCGTAAATAGCACTGGCCTGGGGACAAAACCTTTACACACAGACCTCTGGGAGACCTTCAGTGTGCAACCTATAGCACCCAATTATCTCGGAGGAAGAAGCCTGCCTCTGTCCTGTGGCCTGACCGTGTCCTATTCCTTGCTGAACCTCACTGCTCTGCTGAGCTGTAAAGGCAGAGATGAGTCTTTGGACCCCAATGACTAGAGACCTGCTAGTTAGAGTCAGAAAGCAACACAATAAAGAGATTGGAAGCAAATTAATAAATTAGCTCAAAAGATGAGCAGAACCATAGAATACAACTTTAACAAATCTTTTATTTTTTTTATTTTGGAATATTTTTTATTATTCCAAAGAGAGGCAATTTTTAACACACTTTTCCAGAACTAACTCTAAGCAGGTTACATAAAAATATATACACAATCAAGTTTGGAGGGGGAGGAATAAGAAATCAAAGATCAAAGGATTTGCCAACATGGGGTCAACTTTGGTGGACTAATGAAGGTTTCCTTTAGCTCTGTTTTATTTTGTTTTTTTTTAATCCCAATTAGTTTATTGGACTTGCTAACAGAGCACAGGGTGAGGGTTTATTTACAGAAGAGTGTGTGCCCACCCCATTTACGTCTATTACCTTTTTTAAAAACAATTTTTGAAAAAATTATCATACAAAATACTAGATTTCATTATGGCGTTTTCAAACAGCATTTGTTTTCAAAGATCCCCTTCCCCCGCTTTCCTTTATCTCCTCTGCTCCTTCTTGAACCCTCTCACCCTTTGCATGCCTGTCCCATGTGTCCTGTTGCTCTGCCTCCCTTCAGCACCTCCTTTCTCCCTCGCATGAACTCTTTTTGACTTTATATTCACACTCATAATCATATGTATGTATATATGTATAAACATCATAAGCTAGGATCCACAAATGAAAGAGAACACGTTATTTTTGCCTTTCTGAGTCTGGGTCACCTCATGGCGTCACACCCAAAGGACTCCCTATCCTACTATAGAGATACTTGCTCATCCATGCTGATTGCTATTCTATTCACAATGGCCAGGCCATGCAGGCAGCCTAGATGTCCTTGGTGGCTGAAGAGGGAAAAGACTGTCCACGCACATGTGGAATTTTATGCAGCTGTAAGGAAAAGAGAAATTATGAAAAGTGCAGGAAAATGGATGGATCTCTTATTGCTTTTAAGTAATGGTGAACTGTTCACGTAATATTGCCTTGTTTCCAGTCAGTAAGTTTAATTTATTCAAATACATGCAAATAAACTATGGTGAGAATTGGGCAGATGTTGCCCCCATGAATCTGACATGTTTTTCGGGGGGTTGACAGACTCTGAAGACCAAAAACATTTTTGTTAAACTGAGAATGGACCCTCCATATGGGCCAGCTCTATACTACCCCTGTGTATACCGAAGGATTCTAAGTCCACACAGCGTGTTCATCAATGCACTATTCACAATGTCTAGAAAACAGAGCTTAGATGTCCATCAACAGATGAATGGATGAAGAAAATACATAATGGAAAATACACAATGGAGGGTATTTTTGAGATAGGGTCTCACTACGTAGCCCTGGCTGGCCTCCAACTCACAGAGATAAACCTACCGCAGCCTCCTGACTGCTATATCCAGCCACAGTGGAATTTTATTCAACCATAAAACATGAAAGCATGTTTTCAGGAAAATGAATAGAACTGGAGATTATTATGTTAAGTGACATATACCAGGCCAAGAAAATAAATAAACAATGATCACAGGTCTTTTCTCACAGGTAGAACCTAGATGCAAAATTACATATTTGTGTGTGTGTGTGTGTGTGTGTGTGTGTGTGTGTGTTGGTCATGAAACTAGAAAGTGTGTCACCGGACAGAAGGAAAAGCTCTAGGAAGTGGGGAAATAGGGCAACAGAGCACAGGAGATAAGGATAGCAGGGTGCTGGAGAGAGGGCTCAGTAGTTAAACTGCTTACTGCTCTTGCAGAGAACTTGGATTTGGTTCCTAGCACCCACATCAGGCAGCTCACAATCACCTGTAACTCTAGTTTCGGGGAGATCCCATACCTTATGGCTTTTAGAACTCACACAGGCACGTACAGATACCCATGAATAAAAATAAATAATAAACAAATCTTTTAAAAAGAAAGCAAGAGAACAGAAGGGAGGATAACTAGGGGAAGAAAGGGAGCCAGCTGGAGGTGGGGAGGGGAGGAGGGGAGGCCAACGGGTGAAGAAAACGGCCTCAAAGCAGATACAAACTACTTGTGTTATGTTTCTTACACAGTCAGAAGTGATTGAGAGTTGCTTACCCCATGAGAAACTGGCAGAGAAGAGCCTGGGTGGAGGCTCATCGCCTCAGGTCGTGACTGGGACTGGGTTTTCCTGGCTTTGGCCTTCGTAGGCTGCCGTCCCAATTGCCATGACTTAGTTTCCCCATCTGCCAACCCAGGAAGTGTAGCAGCCTCTACTCTGCAGCGTTTGGCGAGCAGTCCATGAGTTAAGCTGTACAGGGTGAACCTTTCCTACACATCGACCACTGTCACTATTTCTTGAGCTCGTCCTACAATCATGTGTTGTGCAGCTGCTAGGTAGCGTGCTTCCAGATCTGGGCTCAGTGATGGGTGAGAGATAAAATCCTAGCACAGTGTGACTTCAGAGATTTGCAGTCCTATGATAGGAAAGGTGAGAGCCTGGCCAGTGAATAAGCAAATGTAACAAGGAAACCAGCTACCAGTGGCCCCACGAAGGAGGCAAAGCCAGGAGGAAAGCACAGAAAGACAGTGGGAACACCAAGGTTTGCTCCCTCAAGGTCCCAGGGAAAGGATGGAAGGGAACCAGTGACTTGTGTAGGGTCCACATCACCCCATTTCCACCACTAACTTCTTATTGAAATGGAGTTCCTGAGTTCCCACAGTTACCTTCGAGACCAGGCAGTATCAGGTCGCAGCTTACGTTTGCTCACTGTTTATGCACACAGAAGGGACAGCACATATGCTTACATCACACGTTTGCTTTGATAGTCCGATGACTGTATTTATGTGAAACTGCCTTCCTGGATCAATTCCATGTATTTATACATCTGAAAAAAATGTTTGGTGGGACTTGGGCGATGGCTCAGTCATCAAGTGCGTGCTAAGAGAGCATGAGGACCTGAGTTCGGGTTCCTAGAACCCACTTAAAGATCTAAGCAGGCTGGCATGTGCCTGGCCTGGCTTGGGGTCAGGGTAGAAGGACTTTGGGGGAGAGGTAGAGGTTGAGGGGATGGGAGGGGGTATGGACTGAGACAAGCAAGTCCCTAAAGCTCATTGGCTGTCAACTTAGCCCACTTGATGAATTTCAGGTTTAATGAGAGTCCCTTTTTCAAAAACTAAGGTGATTGGACTGGTGAGATGGCTCAGCAGGTAAAAAAAAAAAAAAAAAAAAAGAAAAGAAAAAAGAAAGTGCTTGCAGCCGAGCTGACAACCCGAGTTTCATGCCTGGGTCCCACATAGTGGAAGGAGAGAACTGACTTGGGCATGTTGTTCTCTGACCTCTATATGTGGACTGTGGCATGAGCACACCAACACGCACACACATAAAATAAAAACAAATAATGCAATAAAACAATAAATGATAAGTAAAGGTGGAGAGCAACTGAGGAAAAATACCCTGTGTTGACCTCGGTCCTCCACACACACTCGCATGTATGTGCTCACACACCCACATGCACGTGTGCACATATCTACACTAAGAAGTATATTATACATCTCCCCTCAGAGAGAGAGAGAGAGAGAGAGAGAGAGAGACTCTGAGATGTGGTCTACAGGCTTCAGCAGCAGCTAAAATAATTGTGACACAGAAAAGGACTACAAATTTCTGGAATATTACTGCCCAGAGAGAGCTTGCTTTATTTATTTATATTTGTTTATTTTGAAAGCTTCTAGACAGATCTCAACAAAAGCACAACTCAGTAACATAAAGAATCCTCATGTGCTGGGTTTGGTGGCACACGCTTTTAATCCCAGCACTCGGGGTAAAGAGGCAGGAGGATCTCTGTGAGTTCAAGGCCAGCCTGGTCTACATAATGAATTCCAGGCCAGCTGGGGCTGCAGGGAGACCCTGTCTCAAACAAGCAAAAAACAAACAAACAAACAAACAAACAAACAGAATCCTTATGCACCCCTGCATGTACTCTCACTGGTGCCCAGCAAAACACATCGCCTCTTCCCACTTTTCCCTCATTTCTATTTTCCTAAGAGAAAAATTTGGACATCACATTTTTTCCAAAATATTTCAATAGATGCTGTAGAAAGATAAGAAAATTCCCCTCTTTCTTTTTTCAAAAATAACAAATGTGTAGGAGGCCCAGGATGTCCTTCCTCCCTGGAGATAACAGCATGTCCAGGCCCCAGGTAGAGCAGGAGTCTCACAGTGGAGACAATGTTCCTGGTAAAGAGAGCCTCAAGGGGTGCCCAGAAGCCTGGTTTGTTGTATCTGGCATTCGAGGTATAGCTTTAGTGTCAACTTGACACACCTGGGTCGAGGGATCCTCAATTGGGGAATTTCCTCTATTGGACTGGCCTGTAGCCATGTCTGAGGGGCATCTTCTTGATGAGTGATGTGGGAGGGCCCAGCCCACTGTGGGTGGTGCCACCCCTGGGCAGGTGGGCCTGTGTTGTATAAGAAAGCAGGCTGAGCAGGGGCCAGGGGAGCAAGCCAGTAAGACGCGTTCCTCTATGGCCTGTGCTCCAGCTTCTGCTTCCAGGTTCCTGCCCTGAGTTCCTACCTTGGGCTCCCCAGTGAACTGTGATCCGGGAGATGTAAGATAAATAAACCCTTTCCTCCCCAAGCTGGTAGTGGTCAGAGTGTTTTGTCACAGCAACGAAGAACAAACTAGGACACAAGGTGTCTGGGGAGAGTATGTCAAGGGGAACTGGTTCTACTGCAGGTGCCACATGAGGACGCTGAAGGAGGGAGTAGAGGCCTGTGGTCCAGACTGACCACCGTTCCCAAGACTTTCATTGGCGCCTGGTGAAGGGAGATGTGGTGGCCAGACTCCAGGCGGCACGCAAAGTGTCCTGTACAGATTCTTGTTGAACCATCTCCTCTTCTCTCTCTGACAGGGGGTGATTTTTGAGAAGCTAGGACTCTGTTATGCACCCCAGTTTGCCAGTTTTCTGCATGATCTGCAGCCACTCAAGAAAGATCCAGATGTTGTGGTCATAGATCTCCACTTTGGGACAATTCCTGTAAAGCTGTACTGCCCCAAGGCACCTTCCCCTACCCCAAGGCCTGGCATCATCTTCTTCCATGGTGGTGGGACCATCCTGGGGAGCTTGAGTAAGAGCCTTTCCTCTGGCTTTTCTGAGCGCCTTGGCACCCTGCTAAAGGGACTTGAAAGAACAGTCAAGCTTCAGAGGCTGGAGAGATGGCACAGTGGTTAAGAGCACTTAGTGCCCTTCCAGAAGACCTGAGTTCAGATCCCAACACGTACATTAGGTGGCTCACAACCACTTGTAACTCCAGCTCCAGGGTATTCAACACCTTTTCTGGTCTCCATAGGTACCCACACATACACATATACAGAAACACATTTATATAAATAAAAACAAAATAGATCTATATACAAAAAAAGAATGGTCAGCCGGGCATGGTGGCGCATGTCTTTAATCCCAGCACTCAGGAGGTGGAGGCAGGAGGATCTCTGTGAGTTCAAGGGCAGTCTGGTCTACGTAGTGAGTTCCAGGCCAGCTGGGGCTACAGGGAGACCATGTCTCAAAAAGAATAAATAAATAAATAAATAAATAAATAAATAAATAAAGAAATAAATAAAAATAAGGAAGGAAGGAAGGAAGGAAGGAAGGAAGGAAGGAAGGAAGGAAGGAAGGAAGGAAGGAAGGGCCATTCTCCCTGGTGAACAATCTACTGTTGGGAACAGGCACACCAGAGCAGTTAGCAGGCCCCAGATTACTCAGGTGACATTTCATACAATGGTTCGACCTCCCTCTAGAATGTTATATGTGAATACCAATCTCATACCCCCAATCACTGTGCTCTATTCACCTTTCGGATATTTTAAATAAATGATAGAATGTATCAGGACACAAGCGTTCTGGTGAATGTTGTCTAGGCAGATCACAGAAGAGACAAAGAGAAGCTGGGAGGAAATCTGTTCTATAGAACTCAGGTGCTCTGCTTGTAAGAGGATGTCAGACACGAGGGCTGGCAAAAGGAAAACTTCCTAGTAAATGTGACAATTGACTTTCTTTTCTAGGAACCCATCATGGCATATGCCTGCGTTTGTCCAAGGACAGTGACTCTGTGGTCCTGGCAGTCGGGTGAGTAAGGGGATGAAGGGGAACACAGGCAGCCAGCCCAGATTTGGGATGATGGGAGATAGAGTTCAAACTTGGAGCATATGGGATTGAACAGGAGAACAGGAAGATTGGACTGAGAGAGCTAGTGAGGAGAGGCAGGAAGGGGGAAAGAGGGCCAGACCTGAAGGCAGGGGACAGGAGCGCCCCCCGCCCCCCCCCCCCCGGTGCATGCTGTCTTCTGTATGTGTGAATATGGGCACCATCCAACCCTGTGGTGTGGAAGCTGATGGCAATGGGGCTGGTGGCTCTGCTTTTGGTGGAAGAAGTGACTATGTGGAACAGCCTTGTCCAGGGTGGACAGGAAGCACCTCCCTCTGCCTAATGCCAGGTACATGACCAGCAAAATGACCCAGACAGTGTCACATATATTTCAAAGTATTTCTCACTCTCTCCCCTACCTGGTCCCTGAAGGTCACCCCCCAAACCTTGACCATCGGTAAGAGAGCTTGGTGGACACTGGGTTGGGTAGACATGGGCTGGTACTTCTCTGGGTCTCACATCTGCTACCCGATGCACAGGTATCCAGGGATGATCCATGAACAGACTTTTCCTGCGATCTCATTCCAAAGCCCATGAAATAAAAGTGTCTTGGAGGGTGCACGGTACATAGTTTTCTCAGGGCAAGGCTCATAGAAGAGAATGAAAAAAGTAAAGCCATAAGTAAAGATAGAGATAGAGAGAGAGAGAGAGAGAGAGAGAGAGAGACTATGCATGCTAAACACACATCACTTTGCAGTTCTCTGCTCTACAATAATTTCCATATTTCCATAGTGGGGACCAGTGAGATCACCCAGTGTGTAAAGGAGCTTCACTCCACCAAGCTTGATGACCTGAGTTCAATCTCCAGAGTCAACATGGTGGTAGGAAAGAGCCAACCTCTGAAAACTGTCCTCTGTCTGACCTCCACATGCATTCCATGGCGCACATGCACATGCATGCACACACACATACACAAATATGTACACACTAAATAAACAGAAATGTAAAAAAAATAAAGAGAAATATGAGGCTGGTGTTGGTGATATTTAGGTCATAGACTAACAGGAAGCAATTCAGTTTTGATGGTTTTGGCTGGTCCTCTGTAGGGTAGGGACTATTGGAATGGGATTTGAAATAAAAGATACTAGACAGAGCTAGTTGGGCTTGGCTGAAAGTTAAGAATAACTTACATTCCTTGATTCTGCTTTAGATACCGAAAGTCTCCCATGTACAAGTTTCCAGTGATGCGGGTCGACTGTGAGGCAGCCACCACCCACTTCCTGAAATCCCTGCATGTGTATGGAGTGGATCCAGCTCGGGTAGTTGTCTGCGGTGACAGCGTAGGAGGAGGCATAGCCACTGTGATTTGTCAAATGTTTGTGAAGCGGCCAGACCTTCCCCGTATAAGAGCTCAGATTCTCATCTACTCTGCCTTACAAGCTATAGATTTCCAGTGTCCTTCCTATCAGCAGAACAGCAACATCCCACTACTCTCTTGGAATTTTGCCTTTTACTGCTGGCATTGCCACCTAGATGTGAACCCTTCCTGGAAAAGTGTCATCAAGAGGGGCAGCCATTTGCCACCAGAAGTCTGGGAGAAATATAGAAAGTGGTTGGGTTCAGAAAATATCCCAGAGAGGTTTAAGAAGCATGGTTACCAACCCGTACCCCTTGAACCTGTGAATGAAGACGCTTACCTTGAGACAAGTGTCATACTGGACAGTACCTGCTCACCCCTGATCGCAGATGATGACATAGTGTGTCAGCTCCCGGAGACTTGCATTGTGAGCTGTGAATACGATCTTCTCCGAGACCATTCACTCTTGTACAAGAAGAGGCTGGAAGACCTGGGGGTGCCCGTGACGTGGCACCACATGGAGGATGGTTTTCATGGCGTTCTGAACACCCTTGACTTTGGCTTCCTGAGCTTCCCTTGTTCCACAAGAATTCTGAATGTGATTACTCAGTTTATCAGAGGGTTGTGACCCTCGATCCCTCCCACTGGAGCTCCACTGCCATCCAGTCCCCATGGGACTTTCTGTGGTTGATTTGGGTGACAATGAATGGAGTTAAGGAGGGCAGAGGTGATTGTCTCCTTCCTGGTCCAGGTTCCAAAGTCATACAATGCATGTTCTTGATGAATGGAACAGAGAAGAGCTGGACTGAGGAGGGTGAGGTCCGATCCCCTGTCCGTGTTCATTGTTGGGAAGATCTGAGCTGACCATCTTTTAGTATCCATTTGAGAGAACAAGCCCCCATAGAAGTCAGGTTGTCTAGGCTGATTTGGAATGTGAGATAGGACTGTCTGGTTGAATGGACCTTAGAAAACACAGGGGCATCATGTAATAGTCTTGTTGGGCTTTTCCAGTATGACTTAGAAGGGGAACTCTGATGCCCATAGTTGCTGAGCAGCAGTGGTGATTGGTGGTGGTGGAGAAATTTCCTCCTCTGGGTGCCCAGCTTGCTTGAGCCAAAAGAATTATGATATAATAACAGATTCCCCATGGTGGGTGGCCCCTAGAGACAAGTGAAGGTAGGCAGAGCAGCCTGACTATGGGATGTCTCTAGTTCTGGAAGTCAATGTTGAGCCTCTACAGATGACCCAAAGCCACATCATAAGAATTAAAGTGGTAGAGTTGGAAGGAAGTTGAGTTCTGAACCAGAGATGCATGGAGGCTGATTTTAACCAAATTCAATGACTTCCATGGTGGGAATTCTAGAGAGAGCCCAAGGGATAGGCGTGTCAGTATGAAATACTTGTTTAAAAACAAAGAACCAACTCAGATTGCTCCAATCAGATGGAAGGTAGGTCAGCTTATGTAATAAGGAATCCCAGGTTTAAATCAGGCATGATCTGATGTAGAAAACTCAAGAGGTTCCACCAGCTAACCCTGTCTCCACATCTGTCCCGTGGTCCTCCAGATTGACTTCATCGCTCTATGGTGGCCCTGAACTTCCTGCTAACTTCTTTGAGAATCGTGTTCATTTTTATGGATGTAACCCTTTTTTCTCAGGAGTTCCAACATAAATCTCCTTAAAGTTTACTGGCTTTACTGGTTTTGTCCTGCCTTGACTTCCTGAGATTACGGGTGTGCACCCCCATACCCAATTTATACAGTGTTCTGGGGACTGAACTCAGGGCTTCATGCGTGCTTAGATAAGCCCTCTGCCTTCAAACACATCCCACCAAATTGCTTTCCTTAGTCAGTAGGCAATTAAGGCAGGAGGACTAGGCCCATGTTGAAACATATTTGTCTCTGCTTCTGTCCGCCCTACCTGCCTTTATGTCTGTGGTAAACAGACTTTCTGCCTTTCTGATTCTAAACGTCACTCTGCTTCAAAGGGACCACGCTCTCCCTCATCCTGTCCCTAGGCAGGCATAGATAGGTCAGGGTGTGCTGCAATGACTGATCTCCCCACAGTCCCTGGGTCTTACAGCTGCAACGTTGGGTCCATTTCTCACATTGCACGGCCCTCAAAGGTCAAAGTAGAGCTCCATCCATCTGCGCTGGGACCAGGGTAACGAGGAAGGCCCTGTTTGAAATATCTCCATCTTATTCCAAAGGTGAAGAAACCCGGTAGTCCTCGCACACTCTCTGTAAATGTCTGTTTTGAAGGGATGCCTGAGACTTCTGCTCGCTTGCATTGGCCAGGGCAGTCCCATGACCAAGTCTAACCTCAATGGGACAGAGAAGCGAAGCCCCTCCCCAGAGAACAGTTTTAGAGCTTATCAAACCTGAAATAAGAATATTCCAAAGTCTTTAAAAATTTATCTTAGGACTAAAGGTGCTGCTCAGTTGTAGAGTACTTGTCTAGCATGCATGAGGCCCTAGGTTCAATCTTAGCACCACTGAAAACTAAAACAAACACTTTCCAATTACATTCGTGGTACACGAACGTATCTTCCTTTCAAAGAACCTGGGTCCTCTGCAAGAGCAGCCTGTGCTCTTAACTGACGATCTATAGCCTCATACCCCATGTTGTCGTTTTAAGTAAAACCTGAAATTATTAGAGATAATAGAAATATTCCCCTTTTAACCTCTTTCGAATCTCTTCTTTTCGCTGGGTCTAGCCACTGTTCCTTCTTTGCTTTTTTTTTAACGCGGTGTTCCAATCCCTTAAAGCCTCAATCTTCACGTGTTCTTACGTGTACACATTTCCTATAGACACATATTGAGAGATGACTTTGTCAAACATTACCACATAAAAGATATTATTCTATACACATCCTGCATCTTATGTTGTTTTGCTCAGCAATATTATCTTGGAAATCTAATCTAGTAGAAATAGATTTATCCCATCTTTATTCATTATTACTTTGAATTATGTGTGTGTGTTTGTGTGTGGGTATGTGCGCCTGCGTACAGGTGCCTGTACGCAGGGGATATTGGATTCTCCTGGAGCTGGATTTATATACATGGTTGTGAGCTAACCTGGGTTCTTGGGCCTTCTGCAAGAATAGCACCTGCTCTTAAGTGCCAAGACACCTCCCCGGCCCCAGACTTTTATTTTTTGCTCCTCCTACATGGTTAGTATTCCAAGCATCCCTTGGTATAGATTTACAGTTTTCAATCTTTCCCAGTGGATGGACACAGTTACTCTGTTAGAGGTTTTTCCACTATAACAAACAAATTCGTGGTGAATGTTTCTTCATCCCTTTCCTCCCCATCTGCATATGTAATCGATTCAAGGAACAAAGTGACTGGACATATTGTAAAGGTTGAAGGGCACCATCAAGATGCCCCTCTGCATTCTCTTCTTTCAAGAGGTGTCATTTGGGAGGGAAACAGTTAAACTATTAACAACCAAGTCGAAACGGAAAGTGCCTTAGTGTGCCGTTTCTGTGTTTTAAAAGGAAAGTTCCTATATTAGTTAATTTCTCTCACTGCTGGGACAAAATAGCTGACAGAAGTGACTTGATGAAGGGTTTATTTGGGCTCACAGTTAAAGGGTTCAGTCCGTGGTGGGGTTAGCATGTCTCCAGAAGCTTGAGGCAGTGCTCACAGCCGACCTGCAGTCAGGAAGGAAAAGGTGGATGAGTGCTGGAGCTCCGCCCCTTTCTCTTTTGTTTCTTTTTTAAAGATTTATTTGTTTATTTATATTTTATGTGTACGTGTGTGTGCCTGTATGCCACTTGTGGGCAGGTGCCTGCAGAGGCCAGAAGGGAGGATTGGATCCCCTGGAGCTGGAGTTTTAGGCAGTTGTGAGGTGCCAACACGGGTCCTGGAACTGAACCTGGGTCCTCTGAAAGAGCAGCAAGTGCTCTTAACCACTGAGTCATCTCTCCCTTTTCTCTATTTTATTCCATTCGGGATCCCAACCCATGGAATGGTGCTGCCCTCAACCAACTTAATCTAGAAACTCCCTCATAGATATGCCCAGAGATTTTTTTCCCCATAGTTATTCTAAATCCCATCAAGTTGAAAATCAAAATTAAACATCACAATTCCCTAGCTTAAATGGAATATTAGTGGCTTGTCCCTGATATCCCTGCTTTCATCTTGCAAAGCAAAGGATGGCAGGGTTAGAAAACCAGCACTGCCTTCCCAGAGCAAGTCAAGGCTTGGTCTGTTTCTGGGAAGAACTCCTAGCCCCAACATTGTAACTGGCTGTCTTGTTTTATCAATTGCTTCACAGTTTGAAGTGTTTGAGGTTCAGTTTCAAAGCATTTCTATTTAAAAAAAAAATCCTCAAAGGGGCTGGAGAGATGGCTCAGCAGTTAAGAACATTGGATGCTCTTCTAGAGGACTTGAGTATGATTCCCTGCACTCCAGCACCCACATGGTGGCTAACAACTTTCTGTAACTCCAATTCCAGGGGCTCTGATGCCCTCTTCTGATCTCTGAGGGCATTGCACATATGTGATGCACACATGCAGGCAAAGCATGCATACACATTAAAAATAATAAATAAAATAAGAAAGGAAGAAAAGTTCTCACGGAAGGCTGAGGCTGTGGTAGAGCACTTATCTAGTAAGAACCAAGACCCAGCACAGAAAAACTCCACAAACAATGAAAACAATAACAGAGGCTCAAGGGTTAAGAGCACTAACTGCGCTCACAGAAGACCCAGGTTCAATTCCCAGCACCCACACGGAGGCCAACAACCGTCTGAAACTCCAGTTCTGAGGAATCCAAAGCTCTCTTCTGTCATCCTTAGGCATTGCATGGCATGGGTACACTTACATACATGAAGGGAATACACTCATATACATACAATGAAAATAATAAATAATTAAAAATAAAATAACAACAAATAAAAATCACTTCAGTGTTCTATCTCCATTAAGACAAAACAACGTCCTCTCTATGGCCTCTCTAAAGGACAGAGCCATTTTTATTAGATGACAAAGAAACACATTCTGTTGCTGGAGATGTAGCTCAGCTTGCCTAGCATGCATGAAGCCCTGGGGTACATGTCAGAGATGCATAAAACCTGGTATTGTGGTGGGTATTATGGTGCATGCTTGTTTTCCCAGCACTTGGTAGTTAGAGGCAGGAGGAGCAGGAGTTCAAAGTTATCTTAGACTTTGTAGTGAGTTTGAGTCCAGCGTGGGCTACAGAATCTGGAAAGATGAGAGAGAGAGAGAGAGAGAGAGAGAGAGAGAGAGAGGAAGGGAGGGGGAGGGAATGCCCCCATAGGGGGCTGGAGAGATGGCTTAGCAGTTTAGAGCACTGACTACTCTTGCAGAGGACCCGGGTTTGATTCCCAGGACCCACATGGTGGCTATAAACTGTCCTTAACTCCAGTTCCTTCAGAATCTGATGCCCTCTTCTGACCTCCTCAGGCATTGCATGACACAGGTGCACTCACATACATGCAGGCAATACACTCATACACATAAAAATAATAAATGAAATTTAAAAAAAGACATGTCCCCACAGACTGAGGTATTTGAACATTTGGTCCCCAGTTGGTGATGCTGTTTGGGGAGATTTAGGAGGTGTGGCTTTGTTAGAGGAAGTACGTCACTGGGGACAGGCTTTGAGAGTTCATAGCTGTGCCCCATTTCCAGTTCCCACTCTGCTACCTGTGTGCAGTTTAAACATGAGATCACTCAGCTTCATGCCCTACCTGCCACTTGCCTCCCCACCATGATGGACTTTTAACTCCCTGGAACCTGAAGCCAAAATGATTTTTTTTCTTCTATAAGGTGCTCTCGGTCATGGTATTTATCACAGAAACAGGAAAGTAACTAATATGGGGTCTCATACAAACCACTCATAGGCTTGCTTACCATGCTCAGGGAGCTAAAATCTAAATTTGAAAATTAGGGTCATAAAAATGGTACCTTGGAATTTTAGAAGGGAAACATTTAAAAATTAAAACTGTGAAAGCAACTTAGCAGTGTGTGTGTGTGTGTGTGTGTGTGTGTGTGTGTGTGTCCACGTGAATCAAAAAAAAATACAACAAAAGTTTTTTGGAAAATTTAGCCCCATCTGGCCTTGTTATCATTCTGCTTCAGCCTTCGGAGTGTTGGGAATTACAGGTGTGTACCCAATACCCAGGCACAGATTGGTTTCATTTCATATTAAACACTCTGAAGAAGAAATGTGGGAGCTGGAATCTAGGCTAGAAAAACAATTCGAAACTAGCACAGGTAATTATAAAGTAACCAAAAGGGGGGTATAGTGGGGCTGCAGGGATGGCTCAGTAGTTCTTGCTGCTCTTGCAGAGGATGGGCGTTCAGATCCCAATACTTATGTCAAGTGGCTCATAAGCACCTGTAACTCCAGTTCCAGGGATCCCACACCCTCTTCTGGCCTTCCTCTGTGTGGCATATACTCACACAGACACATACAGAAATAAAAAAGAAAATAAATTTGAAGGGGCTGGAGAAGTGACTCAGAGGTTAATAGCATGTACTGCTCTTGTAGAGAACCTAAGTTCGGTGGGGGGGCTGAGGGGTGGGGGGGTGTCGCTGGCTCGAACCCCCCGCAGGGAACTATATAATGTATTTAGGAATATACAAGAATTTATAACCTGGGATAGGTACGCTACAGTGAATTATAGTCACATTAAATTATTGCGTTTTTGCATAGTATCAAAGATATACCTCTCGGGGTTGGCATAAAAGCTCAGAAGGTAAAGGGCTTACCCTTGACCTAAATTTGATTTCTGGAACCCAGGTAAAGATGGAAGGGGGAAACTGACTCCAAAAAGTTATCCTCTGACTGCCATGAGTAACCCTTATTCACACAGACACACACAGAAATTTGAGCAGCATTTATTTTGTTTATTTACTTACTTTTGTTTTACACGTATGGGTGTTTCACCTGCTTCTATGTAAGTGCATCAGCCAACTGAACCAGCCCTCTGTTGATAGAAATATAGATATCTCTTGATCTTTTGGCCTAGTTAATGAGCAGATAAAGGGCTATGTAGAGATGGAGCCGAGGTCTAGTCATTCATGAACGGCAGCCCCAGCTTAACATCACAGAGACAGAATGTGAAGTGAACATGGGATGAATGGAAGCCGACTGACTGAATGGACCATCTCATGTTAGCTGCAAGCAGAGCACAGGATTCTTCACGGCAGCGCCACAGGCAAAGCTACACACTGGCCGTGGGTGGAGCCCAGTGATTTTAGCTTGGGTTAGAGCCCAGTGATTTATTAGCTGGGCGATTTCACACAGCTAATGAATCTGGCTCCACTTCAGTGTCCTCCACTACAAAACAGATAGAGTTGTGGCATCTGCCTCAAAGGGCTGCTGGACGTGAATGGTGGCAAACGTCTTAGCATGGGCGTTCATATCGGCACTAAGCAGTATTGGAATTCAGTGGACGGCCGAGAAAAGAATTCAACTCACTTCAACTGCAGAAACGCAGCGAGGGTGCTGCTTACCTTGGGTGACAACGCAGACGCTTGGTCCCCTCGCTTCTCCTTCTGTGACTTTTGGGGTGGTTTTGTGGGGTCAACTTTGCTCTGCAGAATCAGCTGCTCTCTAACAGAGAGTATCTGTACCCAGAGTCTGTCACCATGGAGACAGTCAACAGAAGAGAATCCAAGATCACATCACTCTCCCTGGAGGGTGAACGTGAACGCTTGAGCTTTTTTATTTTTATTTTTTAATTTCCTGAACTTGAAAAAGAATCACTACTACCCTACTCTGGGAGGGCAGATGAAGAGATTAAAAAAAAAAATAAAGACACTCAAAACTTAGCAACTCCCGCAATACCTCTCTCCCCCACTAAGTCTGCTACATCAAAAAGTACGTGGGACAGATCCTCACCATGTTTATAACCGAAACAGTTCCTGAGGCATTTTCTACTCCAGGCTGGCAGATTGAAAAGAAATATTCAACCAGAGTGCTTGTTGGAAACTGGGTGGAAGAAAGGAGGAAGGTAAGAAGGGACTGGAAGGCAAAAGGGCTCAGAGGGCAAAGGGAGGAATGAAGTTTATTGCTGTTTTCAGATCCACCACAGGAGAGGGCTGAGTTGTAAGAACAGTGGTAGCATAATTGTGTCTCTTAGCTGTTGTCCCTGGAGTGCTTCCAAGTCTCTGGATGTTCCCTGTCCCTAATTCCACTTCACTTAAAAAATTATTATTAGTAGTAGTATTTTTAATTTTATTTTATGTGTATGAGTGTTATGCCTGCCTGTAAGCAAGTGCACCCATGCCGTGCAACGCCCGCAGAGGACAGAAGAGGCTGCCGGATCCCCTGGGACTGGAGTTACAGACAGCTGTTAGCTGCCATGTGGGTGCTGGGATTCAAACGGGGTCTTTTGCAGGAACAGTGTTCTTAACCGCTGAGCCATCTCTCCAGCCCCTATTATTATTTGTGGGTTTCTGTTTCTCTCTCTCTCTCTCTCTCTCTCTCTCTCTCTCTCTCTCTCCATATGTGTAGGTGTCTGTGGAGGCCAGAAGAGGTTGTCAGATCCCCTGGAACTGGAGTTACAGGCAGTTGTGAGCCACCCAATGTGAATGCTGGTAGCCCAAGTCCTCTGCAAGAGCAGCAAGTACTCTTAACCACTGAGCCATCTCTCCAGATCATCCTTTGCAATTTTATTTGAAGAACGCCCACTGTCCCTGGCCTGGCCCTTCCTAGAACACAGCACCTGCTCAGGCAGGCGTGGCACTCCCTGCAGTGACATCTATGACATGGTGCTGCTGCCTGGCACTTGTTCTGCAACTTTGCCCTGTTCAGTGTTTACTTTCAAAACAGAACAAAGGGCTTCTTGATGTTTCTTCAGCTAAATGGGTTCCTTGAAGCTGTGTATCTTCATTTGTGGCCGGCAACTTTGAGCCACTTAGTTTTACACAGATAGGGCTGGGGATGTTCGGTTAGTAGTGCATTTGCCTAGCGTGCTCAGCTAGGTTTTGATCCTCAGCAGTATATAAATCTGGTATAGTGGTACATGCCTGTAATCCAGTACTCCCAGCACTTAGGAGGTAGAGGCAGGAGAATCAGGAGTTTAAGGTCATCCCTGGCTATATAACAAATACAAAGCTAGCCTGGGTTACGTGACACCCTGCTTCAAAAAATTTTGAATTTTCTCCTCTCTCTCTCTCTCTCTCTCTCTCTCTCTCTCTCTCTCTCTGCAGAGATGCCTAGACGTTCTCAGTTCATCTTAGAAAACAAGAAAGAAAAAGGATTAGATAGAGCTTCCAGCTTTGGTGTGAGGAAACTGGGGGAGGATGATGGCAACTTTGAACAACCAGGAGACAGAAAGATGGTTTCCATAGAGAACTTTAGCAATCACCAGACATACATGGCATGCATCATTAGCCTCTACTGCACTTCGCAGATTTGTGCAAGGGAAGCTCCCAGGGAAAGTGACCAGATGAGCAATCAGTTCAGATGGCTGTGGGTAATAACTACAGGGGATGCCAGACTGTAAACGTCTGAAGCAAGAGATAGTGGGTAGAGAAATACAGCACAACACCTAAAGACAAAGCTGGGCCTGCTGGCACATGACCATAATCCCAGTGTCTGGAGAGGCCGAGCAGGAGGGTTGTGAGTTCAATGATGGCCACATACTGGGACCCTATCAAAGAAGAAGAAAAGAAAGGAGAGGGAAAGGAAAAGGAAGAGGAAGAGGGAGAAGAGGAGGGGGAGGAGGAAGAGGAGGAGGGAGAGGAGAAGAAGGAAGAGGAGGAAGGAGGAGAGGAGGAGGGGGGAGGAGGAAGAGGAGGGAGAGGAGGAAGAGGAGGAGGGAGAGGAGAAGAAGGAAGAGGAGGAAGGAGGAGAGGAGGAGGGGGGAGGAGGAAGAGGAGGGAGAGGAGGAAGAGGAGGAGGGAGAGGAGAAGAAGGAAGAGGAGGAAGGAGGAGAGGAGGAGGGGGGAGGAGGAAGAGGAGGGAGAGGAGGAAGAGGAGGAGGGAGAGGAGAAGAAGGAAGAAGAGGAAGGAGGAGAGGAGGAGAGGGAGGAGGAAGGAGAGGAGGAGAGGGAGGAGGGAGGAGGAAGAAGGAGAGGAGGAGGAAGAGGAGAAGGAGGGAGAGGATTATTTTAGGGGGAAATTAAGATATTTACTAGGAACTCTGTGTGTGAATCTGATAAACCACAGAAAAGCACAGGCAGGGTATATGCCAGAAAAAGGCCTGAGACCACACTCAGCCTTCATGATGGGCAGGCCCTAAAGACCAGCTAATCAGAAAAGGCCTTCCCTTGCACGGATCCAGTCAACAAAGATTAGGAAAGTTGGTATTTTTCATGTTTAATTTTTCAAATGCCCGTTTTTCAACAATGACAAACCATGAGACAAAGAAAGAAGTCGAAAAACATATCAAAGGAACGTAAGCATCACACATTACTACACACAGGCTAAACCAGCTGCTTAAATGTGCTCGGAGAGTTCAAGGGAAACACAGTACACACAAAACTAAATCAAGAAAACAGGGTTTAAATAAAACGAGACTAGGGCCAGATGTGGTGAGCCATGCCTTTAATTCCAGCACTCGGGAGGTAGAGGCAGGCAGATCTTTGTGAGATAAAGGCTAGCCTGGTCTACATAGTGAGTTCCAGGTCACCTGGGGAAACTTTGTCTATAAATAAATAAATAAATAAATAAATAAATAAATAAATAAATAAGAATAGGACCTGCAGAAATGGCTTAGCTGTTAAGAGCACTTGCTGCTCTTACAGAGGACCTGAATTCAGTTCCCAGTGCCCATGTAGGGCAGCTTACAACTGCCTGTAACTCCAGCTCTAGGAGGTCCAGTGTCCCTCTTCTGGTCTCTGCAGACACAGGCATATACACATAGAGACACACAAACACATACACATGAATAAAAAAAAGAAAAAATATTTTAAAGGTAAATAATTAAATGAGTATGTTTTTTTAAATTTTTTTTTTAGAAGAAGCATTTCATTACAGCTTTAACATAGTCAATAAGTTTCCAGAGCAAAGATACATCTCTTTCAAAAGTGGCTATAAAATTTTTAGGTTCGCTGTTGAATTAATAGTTATACAATATTGAACTCAGTATAAGCCCTGTAAGACATAAAACTGAATGAGTTTTTAACCTTTAAAAAAGATCTCCATTTCATTTTAAAATATACTGTTTCTTACACTCATTGTTTTTGCTAATAACACTGAGATGTTGGCACATGCGTTTCTAATCTGTATGTATCTGATTATTACTAGTCATAATCGGTTGCATGAATATATATTTTTAAAATTAAGACTTTAAAAAGGAATCAAACTTCAAAGCAGAAAAACATAGATTAATTAAAAATTCAACAGAGGAGTTCAACCACAGACTGGAAAAGGCAGAAGAATCAGCAAACTTGAAGACAGTGAAGAGACCCCGCAAGATGTATGTGAGACCATTAAGTAGATCCATATCTACATTAAGGGAATTTAAGGAGAAGAGAAGGGCTGGAACGATGGCTCCGCAATTAAGAGCACTGGCTGCTCTTGCAAAGGACCTGGGTTCAGTTATCAGAACCCACATGGCAGCTAAGAACTGTCTTTAACTCCAGTTCCAGGGGATCTGACACCCTCTTCTGGCTTCTGTCAGCACTGCACACATATGGTTCACCAACACATATGTGGAGCCTGGAGAAATGGCTCAGCAGTTAGGAGCACTGGCTGTTCTTGCAGAGGACCCAGGTTCAGTTCCCAGCACCCACATGGCAGCTAACAACCATCTGTAGCTCCAGTTCCTGGGGATTCCATGCCCTCTTCTGCTCTCCATGGGCATTGCATGACAAGGGTGTGTATGCAGTCAAAACATTCAGACACATAAAAGAAAAATAAATGCATTTTGAAAAAGAAAAGTATGATGTTCTCTTGTAAATATGTGGGCAAACATAACCAGTATTGTGTGGTTTTTATTTGTAACTCTACTCTTTATTTTCTACAGAATTTAGAAAAAAATGTATAAAAATTATAGGCCTGTGCAAATAAGCACACGATTCATAGCAATGTAATCTGTGACGACAGTAAAATAAAGCAGGGCCAGCAAGATGACTCAGTGAATAGAGATGCTTGCCACCAAGCTTGGTGACCTGAGTTCAATCCCCAGGACCCACATAGTGGAAGGAGAAAACAGACTTCTACAATTCGTCCTCCGGGCTCCATACATGTACCTGCCTACATCACACACACACACACACACACACACACACACACACACACACTCACACGTAAAATAAAATGTAGCAAGCCTAGAGAGATGACTCAGCAGTTAAGAGCACTGGCTGCTCTTGCAGAGAACCCAGGTTTAACTCCCAGCACCCACATGGCAGCTAACAACCATCCTTAACTCCAGTTCCAGGGGATCCAGTGTCAACTCCACAGACATTGCATGACACAGGTTCACTTACACATACATAGGCAATGCACTCATACACATAAAATATGAATAAAATATTTTAAAAAATAATTAAAAACTAACATTTTTTAAACACATGCATGTAGCTTGTTTTCTTCTTTGGGAACCTATTTAATGACCAAATACACTAGTAAATGGGATTTTTTTAAAAAACAGAATTTCTTAAATGTTGGCCCCCTGTGCTGGAGCAAGCCCTGTATGCATCAGTAATTAGTGTTAGTCTGAACAGCATTTGTGTGTGGAGGAAAGTAAAAGGTTTTAGTTTAATAACTTTCATATCTTGCACTTTTCCTCCTATGAACTCTAACTCTTGGTTGCTTGAGTTCTTCTGTCTCTATTGGCAGAAAGTTGACACTGTGGTTAGTGAGGAAATTCGCTTACAGATTGCTTTGTGTCCATCAGATAGGATCCAATATCGCTGTTTACTTTAGCAACAGACTCGCTAGTGGGGAGGAGGTGAGAGGGTAGATGTTGAAATATGTAGACGACATTAAAGATAGCCTGAATGTGATGCTGGGGGTGGAGTGAAAGGCTTTATGGTTGCTGATAAGTGTTCTACTATTGAG